ATCTAAAAAAAATGTAATGGCAATCATCAATATCTATAAACTGATATTTTTGCTATGAGGGTATTAAACTCTACTGCAATAAGAACAACTAAAAAATGATTTAGTTGCAAGCTTATATTCCAACCTCTAACACAATCAGAGAGAGCTTTCAGTACTTGTTGCATACTTGAGTAGGCCTAGAGCCCCTTATTAAAGCCGTTTCACATGGGAAGCGGCAAGCGGTGATTTGCCACCCACTGCCGTTTTCTCACATAATGTTAATGGAAACGTTTTGTGCAGTTGAGCACGGCGCTCGCGTCACATTTTCAGGGCGGACGTTGTATTCTAGCTTCCTGCCCACCATTAAAGTGAGCTTAGAGTATTTGTGGTGTCATACTTGATTAGAGATGCATTGTCGTTTCACACGGGAAGCACCGAGAGTGAATTATCACATAGTGTAAACGTTTCACATAGTGTAAGCTCGGCGCTCGCGTCACGTTTCTGTAACAACATCACCACACATCTCATTTGCTTATGATCAAATCTATTTTAAATCTAACAGAAATATTTGAGTTAATTGAGCTAATTGTTAATTCATGGGAACATAACTAGCATAGTTTTGTTGCAAAATAGCCTATTGGGGAAATCAACCCCTGACCACCTGAATGACTGCTTGAGCTGTCTTAAATAACTAAGAGAGTATTAGTGATTCTTAATGTCATGTTATTGAATACCTTGTTTTTTAATTTAAGTTTCAAAGTATGAGTATATTTCATGAATTTTCAAGACTAAAATGGCGCTTTGACAAGCTTGATAAATTCAGGTCCAGATCACTCATCTTCATAATTAATAACAAGACTAACTGTCAGAATTAGTGAGTTCGTTGAATAATTTTACTCTATAAAAAATAGCAACACAATCTCACGGCAATTCGTAACTTTTTCATTTAGTGGCTAATTCGTATGAATTCGTACGATCTAATTCGTACAATTTAGTACGATTTGCTTATCCCCCAATGACGGTTGGGGTTAGGGGTGGGGTCAGGTGCCACGCCTCCTTTTTAAAATCGTACCATTTCGTACGACTGAACTCGTACGAATTCGTACGAATTAGCCACTAAACTGGCAAAACGTAAAATACTTACGTTTTCTCGTGAGATCAGGCTGCAAATAGTTATAGCAAATATCCAATGTAGTCCTATGCACATATTTGGAAATCACGAATTATGTAGTCAGAGGTATGTTTGACTGCATTTTGTCTTTAAAATGAACGCTACGGGGCAGTATGATGCAGTTCCTTTTTGAGTTTACAAGCTGACCGCTTACCACCGCATAGATGGTATTCCCGCTGTTACCAGTCCACCATGTACGTCGGTGAACTTGAGATGCAGAGAGGACATTGACGATCAACGAAAGTATGGTTCCAGAAAGTGGGTAAGACAAAAAACAGAAGCCAATAAAATAAAATAAGCAAGTAAATAATAGGGTGAGAATGTGATAAAATCTGAAAAAAAAAGGTAAACATCTGAGCTTCTCTTTTTCTGTATTGCTTTTGAAAACACTGTCAGTCGAGTTTAAAAAAAAGTTGATGAGCAATTCCATTTGTGCTTTTGAAAATACTATTGGTTGGGCTCAGTTGATCGATCAGTCAGATTTATGTGAGAAGAGCAGGCACGAATGGTACTCGCAAGAGAAATTTGAGGTCTGAAAAAACGTATACATCGGCCTCTGGTGGATTCACGAAAACAAAAACTGCAAAAAATGCAATAAAAATGCACAAAACATTTTGCACGTTTGCAGCAAATGTATTGTTCATTCCATGTTGTTCGCAACACAGGACGGTAATCTGATTCTGTTCTCATGTTTGCATTGTGTTACACGCAATTTACTCATGAAAAAAATGTATTTCCCCTATGCTGTGAACATGGACATGGCATCAGTTTTCTGTTCCTTTTTTACACCATGACTACATGATTGCTTTGTTTTTTGCATATTATTAGCCTAAATAAACTGAAAATTTACTGTGAAAGGTCATTTAAAATGAACTTAACGGGCCCTATCATACATCCAGCACAATAAAGCACAAGACATGTTTGACGCGATTTGTTGCTATTTTCAGACCAGCGCGATCATTAACGTATTTGCTGGAGTTTTTTCTACTTGCATGTGTTTTCTTGCAGCGTGTTGAACTCCACACGTTTGAGTCTCATGGCAAGATCAAGGGAGGGCGAGAGAGAAACTTTAAGATAAATGTATCTCATACTTCGAAAGCGGCCGCTGGCTATTCAGGTTTGGGTTGAAACATCAAGAGAGGCCTGGCTCAAACCAACAGAGCCCCGAGGCTGGTTTCCACCCACCATGAAGAGGACAGGTGGCCAGAGCTTGACTGATGATCTCTTGCATGCTTTCCACTGGAGCACAGTATGAAGGCAAACAGGGACTGATTAGCATTTTAGCGGCCATCGGCATCTAGCACAGCTATTAGCAAAACAAGTCGGAGGCCATCTGGAAGATAGCTTTCCCTCTGCAAATCTAATGACACGGGGCCATAAAGATTGCGAACGCTAATTGTTGTGTTGAACATGAATGGAATCTGAAGATTTCAAAAGCACAATAAAAGCAAATATCTTAATGCTGAACTGACTAATGCTGAGTTTAGCGATTGTTTTCTTTGTAACACATCTTATATACGCTCAGTTTAGCGAACGCATGACATTTGGAACACACTGCAGTGCAGCCTGTCGTTAAAATCTTAATTAGCCCCATTGGCTTCTCATCAGGGAAAGAGCAGTGCTCAGTGAACTGTGCGCAAAGTTAAGAGCTTCCACAATATGACAGAACAATAAATGTGGCAAGATAATGTGGAAAGAAAAAAGGGAAGTGAGGCATTTCTAATTAAATAGTGGCAGATCTGAATGGCAGAACAGTTGTAGAGGATATGACATCACAAAGAGAATAGACGTCATTTCGAGGAGGGGGCAACTGTGATTTTTTGTAATTCTAATGGCAAATTGTGATTACAAATAAAAGAAAAAGAAGAAAAAAACAGTTAAAAACAAATAAAAAACTGTCAGGTATTGGCAGGTGTGTGTGTGTCTGTGTGAGCATGTAAAGGTAACTGGGTGGACAGGTCAGAGTACATAAAAAAGAGAACAAATATATATACACGTACATACAGTTGAAGTCAGAATTATTTGCCCCTCTTTGAATTTGTTTCTGTTTTTAAATATTTCCCAAATGATGTTTAACAGAGCAAAGGAATTTTACAGTATGTCTGATAATATTTTTTCTTCTGAAAGTCTTATTTGTTTTATTTCAGCTAGAATAAAAGCAGTTTTAATAAAAATAAAAATAAAAAAAACATTTTAGGGTTAATATTATTAGCCCCTTTAAGCTATTCTTTTTTCCATAGTCTACAGAACAAACCATTGTTATACAATAACTTGTCTAATTACCCTAACCTGCCTAATTAACCTAGTTAAGTATAGTATAGTATAGAAGTGTCTTGAAAAATATCCAGTAAAATATTATGTAATGTCATCATGGCAAAGATTTCAATTAAATCAGTTATTAGAAAGGAGTTATTAAAACTATTATGTTTAGAAATGTGTTGAGAAAATTTGCTCTCCGTTTAATAGAATTATCCGTTTAAAAGAAAATAAACATGGGGGCTAATAATTCAGGGGAGCTAATAATTCTGACTTAAACTATATATATGTATATATATACATATATATATATATATATATATATATATATATATATATATATATATACTGTATATATATATATATATAAGTATATATGTATATGTATATATGTATATATATATATATATATATATATATATATATATATATATATATATATATATATATATATGTGTGTGTGTGTGTGTGTGTGTGTGTGTGTGTACACACACACACACACACACACACACACACACACACACACACACACACACACACACACACACACACACACACACAACATGCATAACAGTAGAAATTATTACAGGTTGCACAGATCAATAAATGAAGTAAATAACCTAAATAAAACAGATAGAAACCAATCAATGGTAAGGAGTGACAAAAATGATAAAAAAGGACAACACTAATAATAAGGATGACAACAACAACAACAACAATAATAATAATAATAATATTAATAATAACTACTACAATGTCTACTTGTAGTGGTACCTTCATGGATCAGATTTGCACCTTTAATGAAGGTACAATGTTGTATCTGCAGGTTTTAAAAACCAAAGGTACATTTTGGTTTTCCATAATACAAATCATGTCCTTAATAGTACAAACTGCAATGGTACAAATTTGTTTCTTTGCCTTAAGGTACAATTCTGTCGCATAAAAAGGTACAACCAGTGACAAGGGTCTGTACCTTCTTTGGTACAACAATGTACCATTTTTTTTTTAGAGAATGCACCAGTTGTTTTGTATTATAGAACTTAATAATGAATGTTTATGAGTTTCTTTAAACATACACTTTTAAATTATGATTCATGCTTTTATATGACAACTATTTATTGTTATTTATTCATATATTGTATAACAAAAGATACAGAACAGTGTCATTCAAGTGGACTTTTCATATAAGGTACAACTTTTACAAAGGTACAAAACTGTTCCTTAATGAACATTATTTGTACCACCGTGTACCTTTTTTCTGAGAGTGTTGTACATAAAGCACTGAATAATAAAAAGAAATCCTCTATGTTGTTTTGGGTAGACCTCTATGAAAGATGATGAGATAACGCGAGATGATGCTGATGTTCTGCACTTGACATACAATTTAGAGGAGCCTACTTAAACGTCATCATTTTATTGCTCGGTCAATGAGGAGGGATCTTGATGAAAATGAAAAGCCCCAACTCCCCCCACCCCACCCGTAGGGTTTGTTGTATTTTCCTGTGTGGCCGTGACGAAATCGGCGAAATAAAAGAGCGCACCTGGACACGGTGCGCGGGTATACGAGGAAAGGCAGAACGGAGACGCGCACGAGCCACCACAGACGAGTGCTGACCTACAGAATAACAATAAAACAAAAATGATCGCCAACATCTCTGTTTTCTGCGTGTCCTCGCTTCTGCTTTTAAACTTGGTCGGCGCCAAACCAGTTTCCAGTTTACAGGTGAGTCTCAAGTTTTCAGCTCACTCAAATTTCACGACAGGTAACTAATCATATGCATTTGACGGCAGAGTCTAAAGCAGCTGTTAGATGAAGAAGTGAACAAGCCGTTTGAGGAGTCCCAGGAGTCGGTGATGGAGCAGAAGGATGCTACAGCTGAGAAGAGCGCGCTGGACGAGCGAGCGGAGCAACTGTGGGAGTCGGACGCGCGAAACTCCGCGCTGGCGGGGAAGTATGGCATGTTCGAGCGTCTCCTAGGCGACTTACTGTCCACATCAAAGCGCTCGTGGAGTCGATTCAAGAAGGGCGACCTGAGGAGCTGCTTTGGGGTCAGACTCGAAAGAATCGGGTCTTTTAGCGGGCTCGGGTGTTAAGCTGAGGTATGTTAGGAGATGTTAGTTCACCTTGAAGGAAACTGTTCAAAAGGCTTTTTAGAAATAAAATAAGTCATGTCTTATTACTTCATGTCATGTCGCTTCTTGCAGGCTGGGACTTGAAAAACTTGACACATTTGGGCAGGCACATATTTGATAAAAAAAAGTGCTGCAAGTTTTAGATTTGTGTTGAGGTGATGATGATGTAGGCCTATGTGTTGGTCATTATTTATTTGAGATTCAGACCTGTAAATAGTTTGTATTTGAACATTCCATGGCTGCTGCTGCTGCTGCTGATGATGATGATGATGAAGCTTTGTACTGTTGCATATTTATTTATTTATGTCCTCTTTAAATCCACCCGTGTAATAGATCATGTATATTGCTGCACAATAAATTTTTTGCATAACGTGTGTTAATGTGGTCTAACACTTTTGGAAGGTAAATTGCTGCCTAATTCATGTCTTGCTTCGTTAAAAAAGACCTCAAGTGCAGTTTTACCTGCATCAGAAGGTGTTTTCATCATATATTGTTATGTGATTTCATTATGATCATTATTGCAGAGTTACACCTATAGAAGAACTTTATCTAAATAAGTATATGTCTGACTGATTAGTTTAATCAATAGATTAAAAATCGGTTGCATGATTTTAAAGCACAATTTTGAAAGCGTTTGCTGGAACTTTGCTCTATATTGCCATCATATCATTAGCAGTTTTACCTGCATCAGAGTACGGTGTTTTTATTATATTTTGTTATGGTGTGTTTGAAAAGACCCACCACTTACTGACAAAGGACCGTAATTTATTGCTATAACATGATCATAAATTATGGAGAGAAAAAAAAAACACAGAAAGAAGCTTTAAGACCAAGTGAAGTCATCTTTAAATAGAAAAAACATTTTACAAGTGACTTTTATTCCAAATCTTGGAGCTTACTCTTGACACAAAAACTGATCAATAAAAGTTTTGAAGCACCAAAAGTGGCCCGTATTACAAATAATTAAAAGACTAATTTGGCTATTGTTGTTCTCCATGATTTTTCAAATGTACTTTTTTTTCAAGAAAAACCATGAAGTTCTACACTATCATCATCAATTTTATTATTATTATTATTATTAATAATAATATCGTTATTATTAGTAAGTTTTAATTATTTGTTATTCAAATGGCCGAATTCTGACTGAGGAAAGTTTAATGTTTGTTATTTGCCTAATAAATGACAATATAGGCTACAGTTTTTAAACTAAAACTTTAACAGATTCCTCTTTGTTTTTTAGTGATATATAATGTCATAAATTTGTGTTTTCTTTATTTGAAATTTTTAGGAAATATTTTGGTACATCAAAAAGTGTGCTTATTATGACCATCCAACAAGCTACTGCAAAAATAGTGCTTTAAATGCGGTATTTAAACCTCAGTTTAATAGAAAATGAGGCATATAACTGCAACAAGGTCCACTTTTTGAGAAAAAAGCACCACCCCTTTCACCAGGCTGGCTATTGAAGAGTGCAAAAAATTACACTAAGAAGAAAATATCTAAATTAGTAGATGTGTGATTGATTATATCAATGATTAAAAGTTGGTTGCATGACTTTAAAGCAGAGTTTTGAAAGTGTTTGCTGGAACTTTGGTAAGTATTGCCATCACTTGGATCATTCCCAGTTTTACCTGCATCAGAGTATGGTGTTTTTATCATTTTTTGGAATGTGGAATTTCAGTATGATCATTATTCAGGCCCATAGCCAGGGGAGGTTCAGGTGGTTCGAAAAGACCCACCCCTCACTGACAAAGGGCCAGAATTTATCCCATACAAGCTTATTTCTCCTATTTTGTCTGCTATGCATGATCATAAATTTTGGGGAAAAAAAATTGAATAAGCCTTTAAGACCAAGTGAAGTCATCTTTTACTGCTGTTTTGTTTTTAAATAGAGAAAACATTTTACAAGTGACTTTTATTATAAATCTTAAAATTATTCTTGACACAAAACTGATCAATAAAAGTTTTGAAACACCAAAAGCGGCCCATATTACAAATAATTTAAATACTAATTTGGCTATTGTTGTTATTTATGATTATTCAAATCTACTTTTTTACAAAAAAATCATGAAGCTCTACACTATTATTATTATTATTTTTAGTAGTAGTAATAGTAGTAGTGGTATAATGTTATAATTATCTTTTAAAGCAGTGTGGTGGCACAGTGGGAAGCACTATCACCTCACAGCAAGAAGGTCACTGGTTCACGCCTTGGCTGGGTCAGTTGGCATTTCTGTGGAGTTTGCATGTTCTCCCGTGTTTCCTCCGGGTGCTCCGGTTTCCCCCACAATCTAAAGACATGCGGTACCGGTGAATTGAATAAGCTAAATTATCCGTGTTGTGTCTGAATAGGAGTGTATGGGTGTTCCCCAGTGATGGGTTAAAGCTGGAAGGGCATCCGCTGCATAAAACATATGCTGGATAAGTTGGCGGTTCATTCCGCTGTGTTGACCCCTAATTAATAAAGGGACTAAGCCAAAAAGAAAATGAATGAAAGATTTTTTTTTTTTTTTTATTCAAATGGTCAAATTCTGACTGAGGAAAGTTTAATGTTTGTTATTTGCCTAATAAATGACAATATAGGCTACAGTTTTTATTTTAAAACTTTTCCAGATTCCTATTTGTTTCCTAATGATATACAGTGTGATAAGATAGTATTTTAAAAACAAGATTTATTCATATGTCTTTATTCTAAATCTTTAGGAAAATTTTTGGTACATCAAAAAGTGTGGTTAGGATGACCATCTGACAAGCTACTGTAATACAGCTAAAGATAGTGCTTAAATGCAGCATTTAAACTTTATAGTTAAATAGAAAATGAAGCATAAACCTGAAAAAGGTCCACTTTTTAAAAAAAAAAGCACCACCCCTTTCACCAGGCTGGTTACGGGGCTGCCGTGTTTCCCGAAGTGCCTGAGGTGCTCCGGTTTCCCCCACAGACCAAAGACATGCACTATAGGTAAACTGAATAAAGTAAATTGTATACGTGTGAATGGAGGAGTGTATGGGTGTTTCCCAGTACTGGGTTACAACTGGAAGGGCATCCGCTGCATAAAACATATGCTGGATAAATTGGCGGTTCATTACGCTGTGGCGACCCCTGAATAATAAAGGGACTAAGCCGAAAAGAAAAAGAATGAATGAAGTTGGATCACACACTGTGAAAAATGCTGGGTTCCGCACAATTCCTTCATATTGCCACAACACATATCGATTAAGTTAACTTAACTACTCACATAAATAATAGCAAAAAAAGTAAAAAATCAAACACAAAACAAACACAGTAAATATATTCATGGCGGAAATTGTGACAATTTTTAAAAATCATAAAAGTGATTTGGATTATAAATTAAGCACATCTCTTACCCAGTAGAAGATGTCTCCTCGACTGAACAGAGCTGGTCACACGTTCTAAACAGAAACATGATATGATATGAAAACAAGTTATAATCTAAATAATAGCATAAACATCTGAAGAAAGACATTTGTTAAAACAGAGAGACAAGGTCTTATCTACATGATGCTTACTGACTTAGACTTTTGTTGCTTATTATCTAAGCCACGTTTGATAGTTTTAAAATATGGTCTATTGCTTGCTGCACCTATTCTGCTCTCACATTCATTAGTAAAAGCTTTAAGATCAGTGTTTTGATACATATTCTTAAAGGTTAATATATTATTTACAGCTTTGTTACACTCACCAGCCACTTTATTAGGTACACCTGTCCAACTGCTCATTAACGCAAATGCCTTGTTGATGCCAGAGGTCAGAGGAGAATGGCCAGACTGGTTCCAGCTGATAGAAAGGCAACAGTAACTCAAATAACCACTCGTTAGAACAGAGGTCTGCAGAAGAGCATCTCTGAACGCATAACAGGTCCAACCTTGAGGCAGATGGGCTACAGCAGCTGAAGACCACACCAGGTGCCACTTCTGTCAGCTAAGAACAGGAATCTGAGGCTACAATTCACACAGGCTCACCGAAATTTGACAATAGAAGATTGGAAAAACGTTGCCTGGTCTGATGAGTCTCGATTTCGGCTGTGACATTCAGATGTCAGGGTCAGAATTTGGCATCAACAACATGAAATCATGGATCCATCCTGCCTTGTATCAATGGTGTAATGGTGTGGGGGATATTTTCTTGGCACACTTTGGTCCCATTAGTAGTGGTAGTTTTAAACTAAATTAGTAATACTAAAATAGTTTTATACTAAATTTAAATTTTAAATTCATAATGCTAATTAAGATTCAATCTTGTTAAATAAACCCACTGAAACAGGAACGATGGATTTCTTATAACGGTTTAACCTACACTTTTGGACTCTATATCTTCTATAGAGGGAAGCAGTTCATTATGTGGAAACAAAAAATGAGTTGGATCATTCACAATCCTTTCCACCTGATTGAGGACACAGTTCTCATATAAAACTTGAGGATTAAAATATTCATCGTGCCCAACAATTTTCCATGCTGTCTTTAAGAGATGCATCAATTTAGATTTACACTGAACAGATAGGTTGCCAAACCACACTGTGATACCATTTCTAACAATGAATTTAAGTACTGCTTTATTAAACAACATCATGAGTTTCTTGTTAACTCCAAAAAGATGCAACCTCCATAAAAAATACAATCTCTGGTGTAAACGAGAACAAATCCACTCAATGTGTGTTTTCCATGTGAAAGAACTGTCGATGTAAATGCGATGTAAATAGCACAAATTGAGCATCGTGTCAGCGCCACAGCCTACCTGAGTATTGTTGCTGAACATGTCCATCCCTTTATGATCACAGTGTACCCATCCTCTGACGTCTACTTCCAGCAGTATGACATGCCATGGCATAAAGCATGAATCATCTCAGTGATGACAATGAGTTCACTGTACTCAAATGGCCTCCACAGTCACCAGAGCTCAATCCAATAGGCCACCTTTTGGATGTAAATCATGGATGTGCAGCCGACAAATCTGAACCGAAATATATTTCAGAGGAATATTACCAGTACCTAGTTGAATCTATGCCATTGGTAAAGTTTACCTAATAAAGTGACCGGTGAATGTATATACACACTAGCAGGCTGATGTCTTTTAATAGACTTAAACTCTAAAAAATTACGTTTTTTTTTTGGTCAAATTGTTTTATGTTTAATATGTTAAGTTCAATTTATAAAAACTAATAAGTTAACTTCATGTTGTCCCAACACAAAAAATATTGTATGGAGCCCAGCATTTATTACAGTGTAGGCTATATTAGACTTATTAAGTGTGATGAGGTGTTACAGTACCTACGTACCACAAAACCTTCACGTATCCTCCAGTAAGACACTTGACGTGAATTATTTCAGGGAAGACAGTAAAAAAAGGGAGGGAAAGTGATTCATGAGTTACCGTCACTGGCCCATTTGGACTCGTCTATAATCTTTAAAGGACTCATTTCCGACAGCAGCCTTTATCAGGGGCTGAGGTGTCGGAATGCAGCGGTCATTCCTCACATTACTGGCGTGTCAAACTTTTAGGTATAAAAGACCTCGAAGTTCTTCTGAGGGGAATACAGACGACTACACAGAGAGCACAGAAGAACTGCGAAGAAGATTTAAAAAAAAAAAAGTATATCAGGAGACATGAAATCGCTTCACATTCCCGTAGTCGGCCTTCTCTTTCTCCTCAGCGTTCAACACATGAGGACATTCCCGCTTCAAAGCACAGCCTTAACAAACGACGACATGGGTGTTTTAAAGGTAAGACTTAAAAATCTTAATATTCATCAAAAAGCGAAGTGAATGATTACTAATAAATCACATGCGACCTCTTTCAGTTTCTCCTTCAACGACTTGAAGAGTCCATTCCAGCTCAAGACCAAACACCGGCGGAAAGAGAAGTAAAGGCGGCAAATATTGAAGAAACCCGAGCTGAAGAGCAGCCCGATACTTACCTGAGAGAGTATCTTTCTGCTCGGGACTTAAAGACTGTGCGTAAAGACTCAAAGAAGAAAAACTCGGGGTGTTTCGGGAGCAAACTGGACAGAATCGGTTCAATGTCGTCTTTGGGATGTAACACAGTCGGGCGCTCAGGTAGCCTACATTATAAATACTTCAACATAAATAGCGTATTTTAAATAAATATGCTTTTTATTTGTTTGTTTGTTTGTCTATTCAATATGTTAAAAAACTTAAACATTTCTCTTCTTTTTCAGGTCCCAAGAAGAACTGAAGTCTTAATGATTAGAAATTCTACACTGTAAACAATGAACATGCGTTGTTTCTACTTGATTTAACCTCACAATGACCTCTTTTGGTAACCTAATGTATTCAGGTTAATACGAAATATATGTATTTTTTTACTTAAAAGAGTAAATTTGTTACCATTTGAAGCGCATTTTAAGGTTATCCGACCCAATATTTTTTTACAGTGTCATTTTCTCCGATTTAAAGTGTTCTTAACTATGCATATTTATTTAGATATTTATTAAATTGTTTAAGTTATATATTTATATGCATATTTAAATTGAACTGTCAGTTCAATCTGTTGTACTTGTCCTCTATAATATTTAATAAATGTTTACACATGCCTTGGTCGTCTTTTTGAATTAATTTCCCGTCCTAATTTCAATACGAAAGCATGTTATTTAAAAAAAAATTACAATGCTTAGCATATATAAGTACACCCCCCACAATTCTCTCTTTTAAACTCATATTTTTAATAGGAAGCTATACAATATTGTATTTGTGCATATACATTATATTATATTACTAATATTATACTAATATTATTATATTAGGCAGTACTGAAGCCAAATAAATAGCTTATCAAACAAAATAACTTACTATAACAGTCCAAAAACTAGTACACCTAAATTCATATGTTATAGAAAAATATTAAATATTAATTTTAAAAAAAGAAAAAACGAAGAGACGCTAAAAATATAAAATTTTAGTTGAAATATTGTAGGTTGTATTTTATTTTATTTTTTGCAATATTTTGCTTGAATTTAATTGTATTATCTTAATTTCAAAAAATGTTTAATGACTAAAATATTATTTTAATAAATATATGTTTATTAAATCTGTTTTGTTTAAATGCACCAAAATATATTGCCTATATTCACTAAGAAATGGATAAAAACATTAATTTTCTACATGGGGTGTACTCAATTATGCTGAGCACTGTAAAGCTATTTTAAATCATCTTATTATTAAGTATAATTGAAGCTATAGTTTAATGGGTTTTGCAGTGCTCACCTTATAACAACAACATGGTTAGATTGATCAAACTGTCTATGGAGAAGATCCTCAGGGCATCATTATCAGTTCAACCTGTTTCAGCACCACGGAGAGCGACATCGCTGCACATTACTCACACAAACTCAAGGTCACAATACTGACTTAAAGCATAGGGTATATTGTGTGACAAAGGTTTGTGGGGAAATACAGAACAGTACGTAACATTTAATAAAAATTTCCATAATGGAAATGGGAAAAAGGACAAGCTGCCAAAGTTTAATTGAAATATTAAGTGAATATCAAACTATATGGCTAGTTTTTAATTAAAATTGGTCTTAAACTGGAATTAAAATGAATATACAATTAGTAATTTATTAAATAATAGGTTATGAAATAAATAAATAAACATTTTAGAACATTTAGAAACATTAAAAGGATCAAATAATATAAGATATAGCATAAAAAAATAAAAATAGAAATATTACAACATTATTGTACCATTAGAACAGTGTTTAAGATCCACGTGCAGTTTATTATGAATTTTTCAGACAGGCAATGGTCAACAGGTACAAAAAATATCATGAGGGTAATTCAGAAGTGTAGTCGAGGTCACAGGCAAAGAGGTCAGTGCAGGCGGCAAACAGCATAAACAATTAAACAAGGCAATGATCAAAAAGCAAGGCTTGACAGGAATAACGCTTGCAAATGTTTTTAGAGAAACAAGACTCAGCAAAGAATATTTGTGAATGAGATGTTTTATAGTCTGAGTAGGGAGAGCACTGAAAAGAACTGAAACTGATGTTTACCAATTGAGCATCGTGCCAATGCCACAGCCTACTGAGTATTGTTGCTGACCATGTCCATCCCTTTATTACCACAGTGTACCCATCTTCTGATGGCTGCTTTCAGCAAAAAAACGCGCCATGTCACAAATCATCTCAGACTGGGGTTTCTTGAAGATGACAATGAGTTCACTGTACTCAAATGACCTCCACAGTCACCAGACCTCAATCCAATAGAGCATCCTTGGGATGTGGTGGAACAGGAGATTCAAATGCATGGATGTGCAGCTGACAAATCAGCAGCAACTACGTGATGCTATCATGTCAATATGGACCTTGTTAAATCCATGCCACGAAGGATTAAGGCGATTCTGAAGCAAAAGGGGGTTCAACCCGGTAATAGTAAGGTGTACCTAATAAAGTGGCCGGTCAGTGTATCTCTATATATTATTTATTAAACCTATATTATTTCAAACTACTAAAATGTCAATAAAATGCACTTTGTTAAACTGTAAAGTTTAATTTTCAACATTGAAAGAGATCAACATCCCATAATACAATTCACAACCGTTTATAAACAGAAAATACAGAAAACCTATAATAAACAGGTTTTTTTTTATACAGTGTCGTAACAGTGTAGTAAAATATTATGTGCGGTCATCATGCCAACAACACAAGAAATCAGTCAGATAAAACCTCTCCAATAAACATATTTTACATATAGTCCACAAAGTCATCCCTTCAGTCTGCATCATTGGCCTATATATAGGATTGCGGTCTGCTTTAACCCCTTATGGTATACTCAGTTGTAGTTTGTATCTGATGCCGGAAGCATGTGAGCCACTCGTGTGCAGCGGATTCATTCCCCATGATGCCTGAGGTCACTGTTTGTGTCCGAGTTACCAGGACTTCTCCAGGCCTGCGAAAAACAGCCACTTAAAAGGAAATCTGCCCCAGCAAGCGTTATCACAGACGAGGTGTCGGAATGCACTTCACACGCTTTACCACGGATGAGCCACTGACAGCCAACTGTCCCTATATAAGAGCCAAGCCAGTTCAGAGGGCAAGAAAACGCATTCAGAGACACTCAGAGATGGCCGGGGGACTAATTCTGACAGGACTGCTGCTCCTGGTTTGGCAGCAGACGGATGTACAAGCGCACACGTTGAGCAGACACAGCTCTGACAGCAACATGGCCAAGCTCAAGGTATTTGGGTTTATGTTTAACCAATTCAATGTGAGGTAAACAGTCAGTGCTCTTAAAAGTTAGTGGTTTTTCGTCACTGAAACAACTTCTTTTACAACGTTTTGTACAGTTGAAGTTTTCTGTTGATGTTGAAGGTTCTTTATGTGACTTTCAATATCGAAAAAATAAGAAGTAAAATTATTAGATACTCTTAAAAGGTCATTGGCAGCATGTTTACATAAAGAATCTTTAACATTCATGGAAACTTTCCAATTCTCCAAAAGTATTGTGATTCACCTATTAACAACTTCCGTTGGACAAATGGTTCTTATTGTGCGAGGGATTTTTATATGCACAGTCATTTTTCAAATCTTTATGACACACAAGGCTTTTAGTTAAAAATGATTGCAAATTACTTATGCACATTTTCTATTAGACAAAAGGTTCTTATAGTATACAAAAAAGTACTTAGATGCACCTGTGGAACAACATTCCATTGGGCAAAAGATTCTTAGTGGAAACACAATCTTTAGATTCACCTATGGAAATTTTCCATTGGACAAATAGTTCTTATTGTGAGAAAAAAATATTGGATGCACCTATGGAAATTTTACATTGGACAAAAAGTTCTTATAGTAGAATTTTTCAGATGCATATATGTAATTGTTCCACTGGACAAAAGGTTTTTATAATTGAAAATAAAATCTTTACATGCATCTACGGAACTTTCCATTAGACAAAAGGTTCTTATAGTGGAAAGAACATCTTTAGATTTACCTATGGACATTTTTTATTTTGGACAAATGGTTCTTATTTTTAGAAACATTTTTTTTTAGATGCACCTATGGAAATTTTCCTCTGAAAAAAAAGTTCTTATAGTAGAAAGAAAAAATACTTAGATGCACCAATGGAACTATCCATTAGACATCATTCCAATGGAACATTCCATTGGATAAAAGGTTCTTATAATGGTAAAAGAAATCTTTACAAGGACCTATGGAACTCAGCATTTAACAAACAGTTCTTATTGTGGAAAAAATATTGGATGCGCTTATGGAAATTTTACATTGGACAAAATAGATTTTTACATATAGCGGGAACATTTTATTTAATTCAAAAGCTTCTTATTGTGTGCTTTTTTTTTTTTTGCACCTATAATAATATTCCATTGGACAAAAGATCCTTATAATGGAACAAAAAATATCTTTACATGCACCTATGAAACTTTCCATTAGACAAAAGCTTCTTATAGTGGGAAAAAAAATCTTTAGACTCTTCTATAGTTTTCTACTAAACAAATGGTTCCTTTTGTTGGAAACATTCTTTTTAGATATGCCTATGGAAACTTTCCATTAGACCAAAGGTCCTCATAGTGGAAAAAAACCTATAGGTTCACCTATGGACTTTTTGTATTGGACAAATGATTCTTATTTTTGGAAACATTCTTTTTAGATGCACCAATGGAAATTTTCCGTTAGCCAAAAGGTTCTTATAGTTAAAGAATATTTAAATGCATAAATGAAAATGTTTCACTTGACAAACGTTCTTATATTGAAAAAAATCTTTACATGCATCTGGAACTTTGCATTAGACAAAAGGCTCTTACAGTGGAAAAAAAAATCTTTAGATTCACTTATGGACGTTTTCCATTGAACACATGGTTCTTATTGCTGGAAACATTCTTTTTAGATACACCCATAGAAATTTTACATTGAAAAAAGGGTTCCTATAGCAAAAAAAAATATTTAGATCCATATATGGAAATGTTTTACTGGACAAAAGGTTCTTAAAGTGAAAAAAAAAACTTGTATATGTACCTATGGAATTTTTTATTAGACAAAAGGTTCTCATAATAGGGAAAAAATCTTTACATGGATCCATGGAACTTTAGATTCACCTATATGGAAATTTTCCATTGGACAAATGGTTCTTATTGTGAGAACATATATTGGATGCACCTATGGAAATTTTCTATTGGAAAAAAGGTTTATATAAAGTGGAAACAAAATTATTTAGTTGCACATATTAAAATTTTTCCTTAAACAAAAGGTTCTTATTCTGGAATTTTTTTTGTTGCACTTATTGAACTTTCTATCAGACAAAAGTTCTTATAGTGGACAAATATCTTTAGATTCACCTTAGGAAATGTTCAATTGGGAAAAAAAAAGGTTTTTATAGAGGAAAAACACTTCGCAAATACCTATGGAATTTTCCATTGGACAAAATGTTCTTTAAAAAATTTTTTGATTTACTTTTTGAAATATTCCATTGCATAAATGGTTCTTATAGTGGAAAAAAAGGTTCTTTAAATTCTCGAAATGTTGTTCATGCTATGGAAAAAGGGTTCTTTTCGCAGTTGTCTACTGAAAAGTTCTTTTGGAAAGCAAAAATGGTTCATCATAGCAAAAAAAAAAAAGAAAAAAAAAGAAGGTTGAGTTGTATTGGAGCATTTATTAATGGTATTTTTAAATGATCTTGGGATTCAATATATAAAAGGTACAATATATAAAGGTCAAGGTCATCTGCGCACCACTTTTGTCCAAAGTTGATTCCAAGAGTTTAGGATTAGATTATTGCTTGACACTATTAGCAAGTTTGGCATGCTGTCCTGGGAGAGAACCATAAACTTGGGAATAATTGAGCCCAGGGATCCCGGCAAATCTTTAAGCATGTAAGGGGGTCCGAGATCAGGTAAGTCTTGAGAGCTCCTCGCGGTAAAGAAGGAAAAGAAAGCGATGGGGTGGAAGAAGGGATTCTTCCAAAACAAAGATAAAGCAGTAGGGTGAAATCAGGCTATAGTAAGCTTAAACCAATCTGATTGAATTATTACAGATTATGGATGAGAAACCAGCCGCGATCAATCATATCACAAGCTTCTCTCGAAATTAGTTTCAAACTTCAATTTTTCCTTTTTGAGGACTATATTTCAATGCAAAGTAGCACAGGTGCTTCAATAAGAAACATAAGCATTGTGTTTGAGACAAGGCAATACTTCCGTTTACAACGCTATGCTTCTTTCCAGAGCTTGCTGCAGCAGTTTGAGGAGGCCCTGGCAACAGAAGAGGCATCAGAGAGAGCCGTAGATTATGAAGACAGCAACACCGTGCTGGAGCAGAGCCCCCCTTCCACATCCTGGGACAGAGACCGAGAGGAAGCAGCAGCTCCGGGGGAGGACTCCAACCCCTCGGATGGATTTGACACACAGAGAAATCGCCTGCTAGATCTCCTATTGTCGACCCGAAGCAAAAGCTTGTCTGGCTGTTTTGGGGGAAGGCTGGATCGCATAGGGTCTTCCAGCACCCTCGGTTGCAACTCTAAAAAAGGTTAGCTGCAATACGCGGATACAGTGATTTTAAAATGACGGTAACACTTTACAATACGGCTTAATTTGTTAACATTAATAAACATGAACTAACACTTTAATACATTAGTAAATAATTATTGATAATTACTAGCATAGCGGCAAAATGAAAAGTATTTTAATGTAAATTAATACATCATGAAATAAAATAAACTAATGTCATTAATAATGTAATTTAATAACCAATGTTAACGAATAAGACTCTATTGAGTGTTGCTGAAATTACAATATATTTATGATTGATGAACAAACTTAGTGTTTGGATTAATTTATGAGTATTTAAATGAGGAAAAGTAGATCCACGTTTTTGTTTTTTAAATGACCTTTGCCTTCAGTAAGTAACATTAAATGGATTTGCAATGTTACAAACCAACTTTTAAAAGAACAGTGTTTGACGGAATAATACCTACTATTAAAAATAGGAATAAAACATTAAACAATCCAGCCTGATCTCACGAGAAAATGTATTTTACGTTCGGCCAATTTAGTGGCTAATTCGTATGAATTCGTACGAGTACAGTCGTTTGAAATTGTACAATTTTTAAAAGGAGGCGTGGCACCTAACCCCACCCCTAAACCCAACTGTCATTTGGGGATGAGCAAATCATACTAAGTTGTACGAATTAGATCGTACGAATTCATACGAATTAGCCACTATATTAAAAAGTTACGAATTGCCATGAGATTGTGTTGAACAGTATGTTCTTTAGACTGCATATAAACCATATAAATACGAGTTCATAAACCTGCATTTGTAATAAATGGCTAGAAATTAAAAACTAAAATCGAATGTATATTGACACTGCGTAGATTTGTTTAACCATAATGACTTTGTTGCTGAATTCTTACATATCTTGTAATCACTGTTGTGACATTTATATTTGTTTTATTTATTATGTACAAGTAGTTGAGTGTTGATATAAATGTTGAAATACATACAGCATATCCTGCAATGGCATGAATTTCTTAATATTTGACTGTGTTTTGCATTCATGTATGAGGTTTCTGTGCGGTATATGAATTGGTTTGTGTTTCTGGTTTTGCATATCACAGATTTTTACAGATGATACTGCACTTATGTAAAAATATGTTCAAGAACTGTTTTGATGTCAATGAAAATAAAAGCTGATGTTTTAACACATTTCAATTGAAGTTTTATTTTTTAAACTCTCAGCCTTCTTTTTGGAAATAACATGACATCTTCTTAGCTTAGTCCTTGTGCACTGTTTAAATTTACTACCGCTTAGTCATGTTGGGGATGTAAACATCCACTAAATAAACTGCTGTAAAAATGCATCAGATACATATATTTTTAAATTTTCTTTTATATAAATCTATTAATCAACCTCAGTACAGATCAAAAATACTAAATGTTTTACAAGATTTTAACTCTTTAATTGTCAAATTCCCAAATGATGTCACTGATTTGGTGAAAAAAATACACACAAAATGATATATTTTCAACATAAATTGTACTTGAACTGATTTTTTTTTAAAATCTTTTATCACAATCTTGGACATATGAACAATTAGTAACAACATTGGCTTTGATGCATTGTTAGATTTTAATTTTTTCTTCCTAATTTACTGTTGGTGGCTGTTTTTGCCCCATTGATCTCCATTACAACCACATTTGATGGTGCATAATTACACAGTCTTTGTTTTTGTTTACTCCATGAAGTTCTGAGAGCTCAGATGCATATGTAGATTTTCTCAGACGCATCAAGATAAGTGCACAAAGGTCACACAGACGCACATACACAAGTTAATTTGCTGTTATACTCCATATAAAATCCAGAAACTTAAGCTTTTTTTTTTTTTTTTTGCAGAGGCCTATCTAAAAGGTTAACAGTGTCAACTAATGATCAACAGTACAAATTGCTAATTTTAACACTTGCTAACAGGGAAAACAATCAAAGTGTATGATTATATGGCTTTGTAATCAAAGAATGGGTTTATAATGGAAGTCAATGGGGCAAAAACAGCAACCAACAGTAAAATTACAGAGAAAATTCAAATAAACCAAAAGCAATGCATTAAAGACAATGCTGTTTCACATGTTCAAGACTGATAAAAGGTAAAAAAAATAAATACAGTCCACAGTTACTTTATATATTAAAATACGTCATTATGTGTGTTTTTTCACCAAATCAGTGACATCATTTATGAATTTGACAATTAAAGAATAAAAATCTTGTAATTTTCTAAACAATTTAGTAGTTTTTTTAATCAGGACTGAGGTTGATTAACAGATTCATGCAAAACAGTTTAATATTTATATGATGCATTTTTATAGCAGTTTAATTCAGTGGATGGACATAACAAAAGGTAGTAAATTTGCCCAGATTCTATAGATTCTAAATTTGCCCAGATTTTGTTTTGTTTTTTAATTCAAAGCATTTTCCCAAAATAATATTTGTCAGCAAAATAATTCTGCTTGCTGAAACACAGAAAAAGTTATGGCCAAATTAATGACCTAAAATCACCCCAGAGTGGATGAAAACATCCCCAACAGTACATAAGGATTAAATGAGCAAAGTTCAAAAATGAAAATAAAACAAAAGTTGTGTGCCTTTAGGTTTATGAAAATAATAAAACAAAAATAGTATATGTCATTATATTACCTAAAATATGTATTTTACAAAACCTGCCTGAAATTTTATGGAAAATCAAAGCTAAATGTCTGAACAAATTATATTTCCAATTTAAAGCAGATATCTCAAAAATCTGCTTTCTGGAAGATTTTGTTTGGGCGCAGTACCAGATGTCACCATTAGATGACTACTAGTAATTACATAAGGGCACCAATGTTCTGACGATCTGAGCAACCTCCTCAGAATGTGCTACCGGTAGCTCAATCTGTCATATTTCATCTAAAAAAAACAGGGGTAGCACATTTTGTCAGCTTTAAATGTCAATCGAAGTGAACTACCACTCTAATAAACAAATCATATATAAAACTAATGAAATTTCCAAACAAAAAATTAAGGCAGTAGTTTACTCTGATAGACATTTAAAGCTGCTACGCCTTTTTCTACATTGTTTAATAGAGTAGTAGTTAATTTCGAGGGGTAACATATTGTCAGCTTCAAATATCAATCGAAATTAACTACTCTATTAAACAATGTAGAAAAAGGTGTAGCACCTTTAAATATATATCAGAGTAAACTACTGCCTTATTTTTTTTAGTTTTATTTCATTCGTTTCATTTAATCCATTTATTGGAGTGGTAATTCACTCCGATTGAAATTTGAAGCTGACAAAATGTGCTGTCCCTGTTTTTACACCCTTCTTAAGGTAGGTAGTTCATTCTGATAAACATTTGAAGCTGACAAGATGATCTAATCCTGTTTTTTAGATGAAATATGACCGATTCAGCTACCGGTAGCACATTCTAAGGAGGTAGCACAGATCGTCAGAACACCCTCCTATGTTTTCAGATATATAAACCATATTTTTTTCATACTTCTGACGATATTTGAAGGCATCAAATCGTTGTATGGACAGTTTTATTGTATTTGACTTCAATTTAGCCTCTAAAAAATATTTAAGAATTTTGCATGTGGATTGCTGTAGCGAAGTACAATTGAATAATAAACTGTTGCTCAGTAATAATGTGTCCTAACAACAGGCTATGCTACACAAAATCGAAGGTCTCTTTATCATGTTAAAACAATTTTTTAGTTCTAACCATCCACATGGGCGATGTGCAAAATGTCTATTTTTGAAATGCTTTCCATATCTGGGATTATGGGCTTTGTACAGTGTTAAATGCTCTAAATGCAAGTTTAAATACCATATTACGTGACATTTATTGCCATACTACTGAAAGCAGCTGCAGATAATTCACATCAGAAATGGTTTGAAAAGTCAGAACTGTGCAAACTAACAACATCAGTCATCCGGTCGCCTGGGGTAGCACCCAAAAGGCAGAGGAAGATGCTAACCATTGCACAAAAAGTTGAACTTCTGGACACGCTAAAAGAAGGTAGAAGTTACACGACTGTAGGGCGCCATTATGAAATAAATAAATTAAGATCAAATCTATAGAGATCTATAATACTGGACTTCTTTTTCTCTGATGGTTTGAACTTTGGGAGTGTTTAAACAAGAAAGAAAAGAGTAAAAATGTTAACGCCTGTCTGAGAAAAGTGTATAAAGTGTGTAGTGAGGGGTTTTACAGCCCTAAAACATCTAGAATAATTGTTAAAATAAAGTACTTTGCGGATTTCGTCTATTACGGGTTATTTTTAGAACGTGACCCCGGCGGATAACAAGGGACCATTCATTCATTCATCATTCATTTTCTTGTCTGCTTAGTCCCTTAATTAATCTGGGGTCGCCACAGTGAAATGAACCGCCAACTTATCCAGCAAGTTTTTACGCAGCGGATGCCCTTCCAGCCGCAACCAATCTCTGGGAAACATCCACACACACACTCATACCCTACGTACAATTTAGCCTACCCAATTCACCTGTACCGCATGTCTTTGGACTGTGGGGGAAACCGGAGCACCCGGAGGAAACCCACGCGAAGGCAGGGAGAACATGCAAACTCCACACAGAAATGCCAACTGAACCGAGGTTCGAACCAGCGACCCAGCAACCTTCTTGCTGTGAGGGGACAGCACTACCTACTGCGCCACTGCCTTGCCCAATGTATACATATAAAAATAAACCAAGTACATTTCGATTTCATTCTGACTTGAAATAGACTCAAATGGGTTGGTCGGTGCAATAGCCTTGAGGTTAGTGCGCTGACATATGATGCAGTAGCACTTCAGGGCGTCCCGAGTTCGAATCCCGGCTCGAAGACATTTCCCGTCCTTAACCCCTCTCTCTCTCTCACTTTGTTTCCTTTCTGAAATATTGTCCTATCCATTTAATAAAGGCCAAAAAAGGGTAGTAGGATGACAGTAAACAAACTACGTAACAGCTACATATTGTGAAATAGCCTGAACGTCCTGCTGGCGGGATGGTGACAATTAAGGGGTTAAATGACTCCATGTATAACACGTAACTGACCATCAGCCCCTTTCTTTCATTCATAAGGTATCTGACTAATTTTCCGCCCACGTCTTCTCTTCAAATGGCCATTATCAGACTCATTACAAGACCCATCAGCACTACACTTTAATGAGTCCAACAGCTGCAGGTGGCTATTTCTCTTGAGCTTATCAACACCTGCACTAACCCGTAAAAAAACCACCGCCGTGTCAGCCTTAATCCTATTACACAAGCTCTGCGGGGTCTCCTGATTGCATGAATAATGCCTCCGTTTCGACTGCTGCCACACAGGACGGTTCTCATTAGAAACTTCAGTCCAAACCAAGGAGCGCGTCACATACTAACAGACTGTCAGAGAATGATGTCTTTGGTCTAATGTGGGTCTAGTGGGATAACACTGACAAGAGAATGACCGAGACCTGCATACCTTCCAATTAGACAAGCTTCTGAATCCTCCGTCAAAGCTGAAGGTGAGGACTGGTGTTAGCCAGGAGATTAATCCACCGAGGGAGATATAAGTGGCAGATATGATGTATGACCATACGGGCCAAACCAAGTCTTCCAGGTATTGGACAGTCATTTTGATGCTCTCTTACACCTACTAGGTAAGATCGCTGTCAGGACAAGAATTTTCAGCGACTGACCACAATCCTTACAGGAGTACATGTCATTCATTTATTTTCCTAAGTCTATATTTCAGAGAATGAACCGCCAACTATTCTAGCATATGTTTTAGATGGCAGCTGATCTTCCAGGGACAACCCAGTATTGGGAAACCCCCATACACACACACACACACACACATACATACATACACTATGGACAATTTAGTTGATCAATTCCCCTACAGCGTATGCGTTTGGACCGCGGGGGAAACCGGAGTGGTTACGTTTTTTAACTTTGCACGGCTCCAAAAAGCTAGCCAGAAACGTAACAATAAATTAAATTAAATAGGACTCCTCTAAAATGAATGTAGAGCCCGGACTCTTATCTCTCGTTCAAAAGAAAAACAACAACAAAGACGATTGACCAAAGAAATAACGTAAAGTCAAGTTTATTTGATATTTAACTTTAAAAGAGACAAAAATCTTGCAGAGGTAAAGCCAAAATAACAAGCAAAAAACTCAACTTAGG